AAACCACTTTTTATTTTTGTCACAAGCTTGGACCGAAAAGCAGATAGTATATTTCCACGTTATATCTTTTAAGCTAAATCCTGAAAAAGAGAAGCAAAGAAACCAATGCACCCTACACATATTGAGCCCAAGGAAAAGCGAAGAGACTGAAGAATTTCATGTGAGATCAAATATTCTGCACTAGTAGGCACAAATTTCTCTAATTATAATCAGATGGTAATTGTGCATGTACGACTACAGATGTCCGAGGACATGGCTCTGGATAGGAAGGGGTGGAGATCGAGTATTAGAGTTGTAGGTTAGGAGAGAGTCGAACGTTTTTTTTTTCCGGGGGCGGGGCTGGCCTGTTGATGTTTCGCTGTGGGTTGTTAGTGGTTTATGTAGTTTCCTCACTATTTCCTATGGTAGTATTGTTGTTTATTGTTATTGCTTTTACATCTATTTTTCTATTTCTTACGATGTTGTTACTATTTTTTTTATCTTATATTGTTATCATTGATCGATTGTCTATTGTTTATTTTTCTTCCTCTCGAGCCGAGGGCCTTTCGGAAACAGCCTATCTAGGTGTAAGGTATGCGTACATTCTACCCTCCCCAGACCCCACTTGTGGGATTTTATTGGGTTGGTGGTGGTGGTGGTGGTGGTAATTGTGCATGTACTTAATGACAATTGGAGATCAGAGAAACATTTGCAGAATAAAACCTCTTGATATTCAAAGAAAACATTACTATCTAAGAGAAAATAAAACAGAAGTGAAGACACTACCTAACCAACTCGCAAATGCCAAATACTGCAGCTTCCGAGAATGAGCTGGTATTTCATTTGCTATATCATGATGAATAATTGGGAAAAAGGGAGGCCAATTCCTATCATCAGTTGGCACACCAGCTGGATTGAATCATAGAAACACATCATCTAGGCATGCTAAAGAGAGAATAAGCCAATTTAATAACAATCTGAAACTAGCTCAAGTCATTGCTTACCGCCAGCAACAGCATCTTCTCTTCGTTTAATATCCTGTCAAACGGGCAATTAATGAATATCATGCAGAAGCCTCAAACTGAGTTGAAGCAGATATGAACTAGAATAAACTACATAAGTTACGGAACTCAACGCAAAATATTTAGCTAAAAGAGCATTCTGGAAATCATTCATCAGCCTCAAATATAAATCGGGAAAAGTATAGACTAAAATAGCACAAAAGTTGAAGAGGTTGCAGTAAATATTTTAGCCAAAAATCTAGGAACTAAACTTTTAAAAAGAATTTGCACCCTTGCAGCGACAATCAGAAATCAGCAAGAGAAAAATGTAGAAATTCACATTGCAAATGAAAATTTTAATTTTTAGGGAAAAGAAAAAAAGAACAACTCTTTCTCTCCTTTGCAGATCTGCTTCCCAATTTGCTAATTCTTTTTGCTTTTTATTGGAACCCTGAAAGAAAATTCAAAAGAACAGATTCAGAAAAAAACTCTATGTTCTTTACAAAACTGCAAACAAGAGCATATCAACTTCATTACATTCGTAGAATCCAATGGGATGTCAATAGTTGCATCATGCTTTTGACCAAAACCAAGACTACTAGCAATCATTTGAGGAAAGCGTGATTTAGATGCAGGCGCAGAGCCACCATTCTACAAGAAAACACAGATGATAAATGAGGATTTTGCATATTAAGAGCAGAGTCAAAGTAAACAGTGTATAAGAAGTTACAATTTGAATATTATAATATAGCAATAACTGCACTTCAACAAAGCAATTTTAAGTTGATCATAAATTCACTGTAATAGTTCCAGAACTCAGTTTGGCCATTTTGGTAACAATACTCACGACCTTGAAAGATTAGTAGAAAATCCATATAATTCTTGATGAGAGGACAAATCTTGGATTTTAATGGTTCTAGGTATTTCCAGGTCCTATGACATATATGTGGGATTGTGAGTCTAAATAAGGAAGTAAGAAAGAGTTTTCTGAAGGATATGGAAGCCAAGTTCCAACAGGGCAGGGCAGCAAGTGACATTTGATAAAGTGAACCACTTTATGCAACTAACCACATGGGCTACAAAATCTGTTCTAGTTAACGTAAGTAACCTCTTAAGACCTTTAAGGTATTAGCTTATTGACTTGGTATTTTTCTCATAAGTCTGATTGTTTCTTCTTCTTTTTCGATGATGGGTGGTATCTGGCCACCTTGCACATCTCAATTATTCCAACAAGCACCTGCAACTCCTACCAGAAAAGGGAACCGAATATCTCCACCCACCAAGGCTCAAATACACTAAGGTTTCAAGACATGAATGTTTAAAAATTTGTAGCTTTTTTGACTTCCCTCATAACATAGGCGACGACATTGCTTGTATTCACAGTCTTGATGAAGTAATGATAGGTGAATTGGTAGAATTTGAAGAGGGTAAGGCATTGCTCTGAATTTGGAATCAAATAATGTTTGTGTTGCATTAATGGGTAATGGTTTGTTGATACAAGGAAGTTCTGTAAAGCAACAGGAAGAATTGCTCAGACACCCGTGAGCGAGGCCTATTTGGGTCGTGTTATAAACGCCCTAGCTAAACCCACATCATAGATACCTTCTTATTAATGTATACACATACTCATTTTATATATCAAAAAAGAATATACATATATATAGAGAGAGAGATCATAGATCCCTTGCCAGCTATTTAGCAAAACTGGTTCCACAAAGAAAAAGAGACTGATCTTTCATTGCTTATTTTCCTCTCTTTTTTACAATAAAGATAAATTTTTAAATGTTTAAACTGCGCCCTTTTGTTCTTAAATAACTTGGTAAACCATAACTCATATTATTGTGTATTGTCATTGTTTTTCCTACCTCCATTTTCCTTAAATGTGTGAAAAGGAATGCACTATACCTAAACATAATAATTCAAACAGAAACAACCTTCATTTAATAGTCGTCATCAAGGACCAGAAACTGTGTATAAAACAGGTAATGTCCAAATTTCTTTTACAACAGAGTCCAATTTCAAACATATCCCAACCTTTAATAGTGTAATTTGTATTTTGTTAAACGGGACGAAGAATCAGTCTTTTGATCCTCCTCGAGCCTACTCTAGACTTTCAAAGTACGACTCTAATATAGTTGGTGCAGACGCACACCCACTAAGAAAGCTAAATAAAAGAAATTTCCAAGTAGAAAATCAGCTAAAGTTTTATTTATTCTCATATTCAAATCGCGAGAACAAATAGCTGGGGTGATTCCTTCTCCTATGTCTAAATCTTAGTAGGCGGAATTAGCTGCTAGTTGTGCTAGTGGGAGCGGGTAACCAGGTGCAAGATAGTTGAGGTGGGAGCAGGCTGGCCCAAACAAAAAAAAAATTAATTTCACTAAAATACTACTCCTACTATAACTTTACCACACCGACAAACCAATCTTAAACACCAAAATGTACCTAAAAATGTTACTATAATTTTCTAAATTCCTTTAGAATAACAAAAATAAATGCTAAATTCCTTAACAAACTTCCACGATTAGAGTAGTCAAATCTAGATCAAACAACTCATTCTAAATACCACAAAAATAGCCGATAAAAAATCACAAAAATCGACAAAATGGATAACGCAGAAGATAATTTGTAAAAAGCTAGATCTAAGAAATGCACCCATTTCATAATTAAATAAAATTTAAAATTAAAAAAGAATAAAAGTGCATTGAGAAAAAGGCGGTAACTGAAAAAGGATTGACTTCAGGCTCCTCTTCGTCAAACGGATTCGGATCGTTTCCTCTACTCATTTTTCTCTCTCTTCTTCAACTTTACGACAAGAAAATTTGCAGAGAATTTTGAAGTATCAAAGTGAAAATTATAGCAGAATTTATGGACGGATTTGTGTATATATATTGGAGAGATATAAAGCAAAGGTGACTGAAGTAAGTATCACATTCTGTTCTGGTACGACATCTAAATTGCTCTTTTGTAACGCGGGATATTGAATTGAGAGTTGAATTATATATTTGCCCACCAGAGGGTGTGAAATCACCGGCTAATGCCACTTCATAAGCGGTAGGTTGTTCTGGTGCAGTCCGTGTTTATGAGAAGAATTTGGTCTTGCTATATTATACTGACACGTGGAACTGATGTGAAAGATCGAACGGTGAACTGACTGGAGGCTTAATTTGTCTTAGTGTGGATGTTGTGTATAGTTGATTTTGCTTTCGCTTTGCTGCTTTGCAACGCATCTGGATATGATCTGTAATTACGATTTTATCCTTCACCGAAAGGCAGGTCTCATGTCTTCAATGGATATAATGGGGATGGGAATTTTTAGGTGTATTTTAGTCCTAGCTGTTCATTTTGTCTGTTTCCTTATTCATAGTTTTCAAAGATTTCACTACACTTAATAATGAGGAACTATGGAATTTGAATTAGTGACATTACAATTTAAACTTTTCTTTATTTCATCAATTGGTATTAAAAGTTAATTGGCTCGATCAATTCAAAGTTTACAAGATAATAAGTTAACTAAGCTAATAAAGTTTTTTCTGTCAAGAAATTTTTAATTCCAATACATCGAACTTCCCAACCATCCCTCCATATCCTTTGATGATAGTTTAAATTGTTACTTCTTAAATAACTAGTTGTTTTTTGGGAAAGTGATCACGCCTAACTCTAATCCTAAAAAAGATAAGTGGTCGCTACAAATATAATCCGGTCTAAAAGTCCGGAGTCGAATCCCACAAATAACTAAGGCTTAGTTATAACTGTTTAATATCACTAAGAAGACAAGTTTGAACAATTTTCTAAATTATAAAGATTGAGATTTATATTTCTAATTAATTAACTAGCAAATACTAGAAAGCGGTAAAATTATCAACTAACGAGACAAAGGGTTGGAGACTAAATTAAGGAGGTCTAGAGTTATGATTTTCTCAATTGTCGGAATCCTTCCTGTTATGTTCCCTACAATTTCGCCTATTTATTCTCTTCTGATCGTGAGCACTTTAGGTGTTGTAATTCTCTCTTGAGCAACTACAATAATTTACTAGATATATTCTCTCGAACTACGCTAGTTGGCTTCATCTAACCGCTCATTATGACCACGTCAAGGCTTTGTTATTTCTAAACATACCTTTAAACCTATTGTATTGATTTCTCAAATACGTTAGGAGTGACGTTGTTCAACAACCACCTAAATATGTATATTTTCTCAAGCAACACATAATAAATAGGTACAGTCAATCGATGGACATTCAATCAATAGCAACATACACATAGTTGAACAAATAGATAAATTCAAAGGCTAAATTATATTAAAACATAACAAGAATTCATCCTCCAAGAGGTTCCATCAAAACTCTAGATAACAAATTAGCTATTCATAATAGTATGCATAACTACAATACTAGAATTCATAACCAATAATGAAAATAGGAAGAAGGAAGTGAAAAACTCGTGGAAAAATTCTCCGCCTTGCTCCTAATGTGTTCTTGCCTCCTTAGGTCGAATCCCTGGTCTCCTTAGCCTTCTTAAGTCTAAATTATGTCCAAAGTGCTTAAAATACCATTTTTTCATGTATATATACCAAGTAGGGTCAGGTCCAAACAATTATAACTTCTCCTACGTGAAAAAGGACACTTTTTTCCGAACAGGACGTGCGTGGCTGCGCATCGACCGCGCACTTTGGCTAGTTTCTGCCTCATTTGCGTTGTCCGTGCGCGGCCGCGCACTTTTCACCCTGTTTTGTTGGGAATTTGAAAAAACATAAAACATGAAAGTTGTAGTCTTTTGGATTAGATTTCCAACCATATATTTTGGAGCCCAAATGGAATTTTGAGAAAAAAGTTATGTGTATTTTACTAGACAGTGTACAATATACCTACTCGATTCTTCGTTTCGTTGCTCTATCATCCGTTGATCCTCGAACACGATCCCAGCTTAATTCATTGGGCTTTTACTCAGATTTCAAAGCTCCAAATCACTTGAATTCATTCCATAACATCTACATAGCTCGGAATCACTCCTACAAGGCATAAAACACACAATTAGTGCAAAATACTAGCTATTAAAGCTCAAACTCAATTAAAGTGCAGTAAATTAGAGTGTAATAAGCGACTAAAATACGTAATTATAGCCTATCATCAATACCCCACACTTAAATTATTGCTCGTCCTCGAGCAATCACACTACACTTTATATAGACGCGCTCTTTTTAAATAATTCTCCTAATTCATCACACCAAGAATATTTAAAATAGACTAAGCACAAAACGTAACATCTTTACCTCAAGATTTGACTCACAAGTACCATGCATTATTCATAACTAACTCATTTACTCTAACATAGAGGTCACTGACATTACCTTTCCTTCACGGATCAAGTGCCCTCACACAACAAAAGAGAGTAGTTCCACACAATAAAATTTAATAACACTTAGGAACTCAAGATAGAAAGAATTCACTCACTCTTAAAAATAGCATTCATATGCCACAAAAGATGCACCATATGTTTTCCTGTAGTGTACTACTCTACTAATCGAGATCATTTAGTCTAGGATCAAGTTGGACTTTATTTGATTGTAATGTAGGTTGTGGGACGAGTAAGATACATTTAGATATAAGAGTGACTACACCTCCCTAAGCACCTTAATACATATATTATAACATTCAAACCCCACACTTATGTCAAATCATAACTCCACCTTCACATCACTATATATTAACTTCATTCTTCTTTAAGCACACTTACATCAAGAGCCACCACTTATCAAGGAATATTTTTTGCAACAATCCAACTATTTTTTTCTTTTTCAATTCAAGTGGCTCTTACTTTTTCAAAATAGTGCACCTTTCTCCTTATTTCATTAGTTCCACTCAAAAGCCAAACCAACCACCCCACACTTTAACTTTTACAAAGTTCATAACTATTCAAGTGCTCATGGGAGGTTAAATGGTTCAAATAGATGGTTAGTTCAAACAAATGAGTAAGGCTTGTAATGTGGTTGCCAAAGAAACAGGATTACAGACTCAAAGGGGTTAACTACGATACATAATAATTAGGCAGGTAAAATATACATATCTGGCTCAACAAAAAACGTCTATGTCACTTCCAAGACTTAACAAAACTACTATTTCGCTTTGTACAGACACGGGACAAGTTCTAGGCATCAAATGCAATGCAAAGAATAACACCCAAACCTCACACACACACATGACACATAACTCCTCAGGATTAGATTAATCAAGACACTCTAGTCAAAGCAGTTAACCAAATTTAAAATCATACAATTTAAGGTTCTTATACAAGAGTCAAAAACTAAGCCTAAGCGTCACAACCAAAGTACTCACCATTCTCAAGGCATAACTAAGTCAAGGGATATTGCTTCAATTCAAAACACAACACAATGCCTCATATTCCTAAAAAAACTAACTACACCCGGTTCAAACAAAATCCTTGGCAAAGAACCGCGACACAAAGAAAAACCAAGGGGGGTTGCTACACTACCTATAAAGAAATCTTTTTGTCCTTTTTCCTTAGACTTAAATCCCTCAAAAAAATTGTCTAATAGATCCATCGTCGGGAAAAGTCCAATCTTTANCGAATACCTCACACTTAGTTCCAACCATTTGGTTTGCTGTTGCATCCTTCCAATAGCTTTTCTTTCCATGCCCCTAGAAAATCAAAAATTGACACTACAAAAATAGTACAATTTAAAAATAATAATAAAAAATAAAAGAAAGCAGTAAAGCTGGGTTGTCTCCCAACAAGCGCTTGATTTAACGTCGCAGCACGACGCGAATCACTTTTTGCCTCTACCGCGAGCTTATGAATTGATCCCTCAATTTGGCTTCAAGTTTTCGGTTTTGCTCCAGGGGTGGTGGAACAAATCTAATTGGCCCAAGCAACCATTGTACTATTCTACACTTCTTGGCTTTTAGATGAGGTATGTAGTCCTGTCTTTCTGGCATGAAAAATTCCATAATGTAGGCACATTGTTCCTCGTTCCTTGACTCCTCAACCGGCTTGGATGGCTCTATTTCCATATCGTCATCCAATAACAATGTGGAAGAATATTTGGAGTGAGGCCCAATGCGCACAAACACATGAAATTCAGGACTTTCAACTTCCTCAACATCAATGATACTAGAGTGAACAAAATTTATATCCTCAATGTCCTTGGCTGTTCTAGTCTCACTTCTTCAACATCGATATCCTCAAATTGTAGTTGGCTAGGTTGTTGATGTTCTACTCTGACCTCCATAGCACCACAAATTCATGCTCTTTTTGGCTCCTATCCCCGAAATTGGCTTGATGAGCATTAAAAGCTTCAACCACTTGACTCACTTGAGCCTCCAAGTTGCGAATCTCGCCTTTCTATCTGCAATTGTTTTTCATTATTTTGTTCCAGAAGGCACTTTAATATATTCTTGATCTCCTTCAGTTCTGCATCCCCAGGTTCTTTGTTCCTGTTAACTTCACAAGAAAAGGTAGAACCATCATAGTAAGGGATTGGAGAAAGATAAAAAAATATAAGCACAACCATAAAGTGACCATTTTTACCACCACACACATTTCACAAATAAGACTGAATTGGTGCACATAACTCGCTCTCAGGAATATTTTGATAATTTTGATACAGGTAGTTTCCTTCATAATATGTATGAGGATCAATAGTAGAATTATCTACGCCTAAATTTCCATACTTCCAAGATGTCATGCTTCTCAAATCAACAGTTATAATAAAAGAATACAAAAAACACAAAACAAAATAAAAGTTCAAACTTGAAACCTAGTAATATATATAGCTACAGCTATATCGTTAGTTCCCCGACAACGTCTCCAAAATTTGATCACGCCCAACTCTAGTCCTAAAAAGGATAAGCGGTCGCTGCAAATATAATCTGTCTAAAAGTCCAGAGTCGAATCCCAAAGAGAACTAAGGCTTAGCTATAGTTGTTTAATATCATTAAGAAGACAAGTTTGAACAATTTTCTAAATTATAAAGATTGAGATTTATATTTCTAACTAATTAACTAGCTGTCACGACCCAAACCGATAGGCCGCGATGGGCGCCTGAGTCTTACCTGTCAAACACCCCTAAGCATGCGTCTAAAATATGAACCTGAATAACATCTGTTGCGTTACAAAATTAACAT